CTTTCTCTTTGACCGTGCCTTCAGCTCCCCTCTCTACTCTCTACCCCCTCCTCGCTCCTTCCCTTCCCTCCCCTCACCCTGACCATTTCCACCCTGCTCGGGTCCCTAACCAAACTGCCCAGCGCCTTGGGACGTCCTCCCGACGTGAAAGGCGCTCTATAAATGCAATCTTGTTGTTGTTGGTGGTGGCCTCAAGGGAGAGGAACTGGTGAATGCAAACAATGTTGCGGACGTGGGGGAAAGTTGAACGGGTCAAGGCACATATGTGGGGGTTAAAATCCGCATGCACATAAACACACGCACACTAACTAACACTAGCACAAACACACAGATAAACACATAAAGAGATCCACCACACACAAACGCACATTTGAAGAACAAAACATTTAAACACCTGGTTCCACCAAAACGTTAACAACTTCCAATTTTAAAACAACTCATTTCCACATTTTGATTCAACTTCCAGGCTGCCCCATTATGAAATAACAGTCAGGGTGGAATACTTTACATATGATCAGAGACCCTTTATTATTCCTGTTCATTTAGGGAAGGTCCAACCTTACACTGTATTACTTTTAAGCTTTGATATTCCCCTGTATTGCTGAATAAACTCTGATGTCAATTACTACTACTAATAATAATGCTTGCATTTGATTTAGCGCTTTATCATGTTGAGACTTTTCAAAGTGCTTCACAGAATATATTTTTAAAAGTGGATTGACTGAATATTTTATGGGGAAACGCGACAGTATCTCACAGAGGGTCATGGATTGATTTTTTTTGAGGGATTATTACCCCAAGAAAGTTATCTGCCAATCGACTAACCCCTAGGTTCCTACTTATTGTTAGGTAAGCAGAGGCGTGTGGAGTAAGGTAATGCATATAAGATTTTACCCCATCCGAGAAGCAAACCTAGGTCCTCTTGCTTGCGAGGCGAGAACACTCACAACTACCCCATGGATCTACACTTGTGAGTCTTTTCAACCCTTTCCAATTGCTTGTGAAATGATGAGGTACAATTTCATTGTGTGGCAATGCATCTCATTACACAGTACCTCAACTGGCCAAACCAATGTGGTGGAAAGAAATTCATAATGACGATGTGTTTTTTTATATGCAACGGATTCTGAAACTAGAGTGACATTCATAAAAGCTCTGAACTTTGCTCCTGGTGTTTTGGATTTACTCTCTTATTACTTAACGTACTGTAGATTACATAAGCCTCCCTGGAGAGTCATGAATATCTTCCTGTCTTGCAACACTTTTGAACTGATAGTCATTGTTGCAGATTGTCTGTAGATCATCCAGAACTCTGCAGCCCATGTCCTCTCCCACACTAGCTCCAAGACCTTATCACCCCCATCCTCTCCCAACTCCACTGCCTTCCCATCACACAGAGGATACAGTTCAAGATCCTGGTTCTCACCTTCAAAGCCCTCCACAATCTTGCTCCACCCTACCTCTGTGACCTCCTAACCACCTACCATCCTGCTCGCTCCCTCCGCTCAGTGGGCTCCAGCCTGCTTCATGTCCCCCACTTTGCTCATCCCACTATTGGCAGGTGGGCCTTCTGCCACTCTGCCCCCACCCTCTGGAACTCCATCCTGCAGTCCCTCCACCTCACCCCCTCCCTTGCCACCTTCAAGACCACCTCAAGACCCTTCTCTTCGACTGTGCTTTCAATCTCCCTGGTATCCTCCCTGCCCTCCACCCTCCCCGACCCCAACACCCAGCTCGGATCCGAAACTCTGTCTGTCCAGTGCCTTGGAACATCCTCCCGACGTGAAAGGCGCTATACAAATGTAATTTTGTTGTTGTTATTGCTTGACTGTATTAATAATAATATAACAACTGTATCAAAGTCTAATATCTCATGAAGATATGTTGAAGCTTTTGCTAATGTCAGATTCCTAATTGCATCATAACCACTGAGACGTTTTCCCTACTCTTCCCAAACCGGAGTTTTGCATTCATCATCTTTGGCAAAGTAGCATCGGAAGCCATCGTCCTCCACCGCCTCTCCTCCCTCTTCTACCTCAGTGGGATAGCACATGCATGGTTTGAGTCCTACTTAACAAACAGCCAACAATACATCTCGTCCAATCGTTATTCCTCTCGTTCCTGCCTGGTCACTTACAATGTACCCCAAGGCTCCATCCTTAGCCCCTTTCTTTTCCTCATCTACATGCTTCCTCTCAGGGATGTCATCCACAGACATGGAGTCAATTTCCAAATGTATGACACCCAAATCTACTTCTCCTCCAGCCTCGACTCCCAGTCCACCGATGTCCTGTCAGCTTGTCTGACGTCCATCGAGGCTAGATGAATGCAAATTTCCTGCAGCTGAATGTAATAATAATCTTTGCATTTGATATAGTGCCTTATCAAGTCTTGGAGATGTTTCAAAATGCTTCACAGAATATACTGGCAAGTGAATTGTCTGTATATTTTGTGGGCGCAATGGAGCAGCCAATTGTGCATAGTAGTGTCCCACAAACAGTCATGGATTGAGTGACCAAACTATTTTTATTTAGTTTGAAGGAATTATTATCCCCGGAAAAGCGATCCACCAATTGATGAATAGCAACAATAACAAAATTACATTTGTATAGCGCCTTTCATGTCCTCCCAATGTGAAAGGCGCTATACAAATATAATTTTGTTGTTGTTGTTGTAAAGACCTATTTGATCATGCTTATGGACACCTCCGCCTCCCTCTTCCCCTAGCTTGTTGTCAGACTCCATCACTGTAAAGCACTTCAGGAAGTTACCCCACATGAAGAGCGTTATATAAATGTAAGTTGTTGTTTTTGTTGTAACATGGAAAACAAGCAACAGTAGAGGTTTTCAGTAACTGAGGAATTTTCCTCACTGTGTTTATAACTGTATTTCGCATTGCCGAAGTAAAACATTGGGAACTGAATGCCCACATTTAAAGAAAATGATTTTCCTATGAGTAGCCCACCCTACAGTAGTCTTTTTTTTCTCTCCTCCAATTTGCTTGAGGTGTTCTACTTTCTTTTCATTCTGTTGGCATACTGTTCCTAGACCCTGGTCGCCCTCCATTACCCTTTCTTCACATGTGAACATCGACAGTTAATGCTGGCAGGTAAGAGGGTTTTTAGCCAAGCCTGATCCTGTCCTCACCAGGTGTCCACATTTCTAACACCCCCAGTCTTAATCTGGAATCTTAGCTAACTTTCCTTCTCTAACCTGATGCATTTAGACCAACTGTAGTGCTCCTGAGACCTTGTAGTTTTACAGTCTTAGTTTTGAAACCATGAGTTCACCTACAAATAAATGCACAGATTAAACTGGAGCTTGGGATACGTTCAGAAATGAACGGAAGACAAAAACACAGATTAATTAAAAACAAGCAATGCGGCTTTAATGCCTTGGAGAATAGACAAAGCAAGAAAAATTGCCATGGAGATAAAAGTTGATTGCCAAAGGAGAAAGAAAGGAGAATTGTCAGGCAGGAAACTTCTTTTATATCCTGCACAGAAACGCAAAGGAATTACTGGAAGCTCTTCACTAATAAAGGAACAGCGGAGTGGAAATCCCCCCACACCCCCAACCCTAGATTTGCTGTTTCATGACTCAAACACTACGATCAGGATAGTGAATGGAAGGCTCAATGGCTGCGTGGATAGCTTTGCACGCAACCATTGTGATGAAATCATGGAGGGGATGGAGCAGGAGGGAACAGGACACATCAACAGACAGGCAGACAGACGGACGGACGGCAGATAGATGGACAAGTTTGGAGAAGGATGTGCACATCACATGTCTCAGTTTTCACTCCAGTCTTCTGTTGTTGTAGAATAATATGATAATAATCCTTCCATTTGACAAAGCACCTTTCAACAACAACTTGCATTTATATAGCGGCCTTCACGCCAACCGTGTCTTGGAGCGCTTTCACTTCGGGGGAATGTCTCAAAGCGCTTCATAGGATATACTGCAGTGACTATGTACTTTGTAGGCAAATAAGCAGCCAATTTGCACAGGAGTGTCCCATAAACAGCCAGGAAGCGAATTAAGTAATTTTATTTAGGGGATTGTTGGCCAAGAAAGGGAGAAACTCTGTTTGCTTTTCACATAGTGCCATGGAATCTTTAACGTCCACCTGAGCAGAAAGATGGGGCTTCAGTATAATGTCTCATCCTAATGATAACAACTCGAACAATGCGGCACATCCCCAGCACTGCTTTAGAATATAAGCCTATGTGGTGACTTCAAAGTCCTGACATAGAGCTTTAACCCACAACCTTCAGAGGCACAAGTGCTACCACCTGAGACAGACTGACACACTGGATACACATTCCATAATATGTCCCAGCACATACTGCAGAGTTTCAATAGTTGACCTGCGTTTAAAACCCAGAGCCTTCTGCAGTGAGAATTTGACATACAGTATTGTGCTGTTGTATGGAATAATTAGTTATGCAAATAAAATCTGAAAGGGGCGTGTTACTCAAAAAGGGACATGATTAATTCAGCACAAACTTCTGATTTTTTTTATCTCTTTAGTTAGCTCATGGTCTATATATAGGGACTGAGAACTAGGAATTTCAAGGAGAAAATTTGCTGTTAAACCATTCACACAATAAGCAGATATGTTTCGAACCTGCCTTTACGTCCAAATGGTAAGTGCTGTATAAATTACATCTGTCAGAGAATATTTGTTTCATTTAACATGATAAAATGTGACATACAAACACTATTTATCACCTGTAACTATACTACTTTAGCTAATTAGCTCCGCTGCACATAATGTTTTCTTCAATGAATTGTATCTTCCATCTAATGAGTATGGATTTATTGCAACTAGAATATAAATAATAGTGATAAAAAAATGGATCTACTCAGACATGCAGGCTCTGCTGTCAGTCTGCCCACAAACTCCCATGTTTGTACGTGTGGTCCATCAACTCTCTTCATCTCTGGGTTCTTTACTGAAAATGTAAGTTTTTATGCAGGTAGAGACAGAGTGGAAAATGGGTTCAGGTAAGAACTCTGGAGAGGCAAAGATTTGATATGGATACGGCTATTAGCAATAACAAGGGAAATAGCAAGAGCTTGCACTTGTACAGCTTAAACCTATACAACAGGAACTTATAGAGCTTGCACTTCTTTCACACCAGGCTCTGGGAGCCAATCATCCCCATCCTCACCCGACGACATTGACTCTTTATCCCCCAGAAAATCAAGTTCAAGATCCTTGTCCTCGCTTTTAAAGGTCTCCACGGTCTTGTCCCACCTTTCTGAATTCTAAAACCTTACCAACCCGCCCTTTCCCTCCGCTCTGCGTCCCCCGCCCTGCCCGTCCCATTATTAGTCCTCGTGCTTTTAGCCTTTTTGCCACCACGCTCTGGAACAGGATCTAAATCCCTTTGGCTTGCCCCTACCCTCGCCTCACCCCGAATTTAATATTAAGTTTGAGAGTGATGTAGTTAAGTACAACGCAAGGGTCTTAAACTTAAATAAAGCCAACTTTGCAGGTATGAGGGACGATTTGGCTAAAATATACTGGGAAAATAGATTAAAAGATATGACGGTAGGCAAGCAGGGGCAAATGTTCAAACATATATTAGATATTTCCCAGCAAATGCATATTCTCTTGAGAAATAAAAATTCCACAGAAAAAGTTGTTCAACCATGGCTAACTAGAGAAGTTAATGAAAGTATAAAATGAAAAGAAAAGGCCTATAGGTTGTAAGCCTGAGAATTGGGAGGGCTTTAGAGATCAGAAAAGGATAACCAAGAAACTGATTAAGAGAGAGAAAATGCAATATCAGAGTAAACTAGCTAGGGTTATAAAGACAAATTATAAGAGCTTTTACAAGTATACAAAGAGGAAGAGATTAACATAAATAAATGTGGGTCCCTTACAGGCAGAGACAGGAGAAATTATAATGGGGAATAAAGAAATGGCAGAGTCACTAAACAACTATTTTGCTTCTGTCTTCACGTTGGAAGATACTAAAAACTTACCAAAAATAGTAGGGAACCAAGAGACTAATGTTAGTGAGGAACTTAAAGAAATTAATATCAGTAAAGTAATAGTACTTGAAAAATTGATGGAACTAAAAACTGATAAATCCCCTGGACCTGATGGCCTGCATCCTAGGTTTTTAAAAGCGATGGCTGCAGAGATAGTGGATGCATTGTTTTGATTTTCCAAAATTCCCTGGATTCTGGAACAATTCCCGTTGATTGGAAGGTTGCAAAAGTATTCAAGAAGGGTGGGAGAGAAAAAATCAGGAACTATAGACCAATTAGCCTGACATCAGTGGTAGGGACAATTCTAGAGTCCATATTAGGGATGTCGTTGTGGGACACTTAGAAAGTCATAATATGATTAGGCAGAGTCAACACTCCCTTTCATTTCCTTTTATGAAAGGGAAATCGTGTTTAACAAATCTTTTAAGAGTTTTTTTTGAAGATATAACTAACAGGTTATATAGGAGGGAACCAGTAGATGTGGTGTATTTGGATTTCCAGAAGGCATTCGACAAGGTGCCACATAAAAGGTTGTTACATAAGATTAGGGCTCATGGAATTAAGGGTAATATATTAATAATAAGAATAATAATCCTTGCATTTGATATAGCGCTTTTCACGTCGGGTGGACGTCCCAAAGCGCTTCACAGAACTCACTGTAAAGTGAATTGACTGTATATTTGTGGGCGAACGCGGCAGCCAATTGCGCATAGCAATGTCCCACAAACAATCGTAGATTAAAAATGACCAATTTATTATTGTTTTTGGTTTTGGAGGGATTATTATTAGGCGTGTGGAGTAAGGAAATTTGCCCAAGGTTTCGCCCAGACCTGCCTGGAATTGAACTCAGGTCTCTCACTTGCAAAGCGAATGCTCTAACCACTGAGCTACAGGACTCCATTAGCATGAATCAAAGAGTGGTTAACAGACAGAAAACAGAGAGTTGGGATAAACAGGTCCTTCTCAGATTGGCAGGTTGAACTAGTGGAGTGCTGAAAGGATCAGTGCTTGGGCTCAACTGTTTATAGTCTACATCAATGACATAGATGAGGAAATAGAGCTTAATGTATATAAATTCGCGGATGATACAAAGCTAGGTGGGAAAGTAAGCTGTGAGGAGGACACAAGGAGGATGCAAAGGGATATAGACAGGTTAAGTGAGTTGGCAAGAAGGTGGCAGATGGAGTATAATGCGGGGAGTGTGAAATTATTCACCTAGGTAGAAAAAATAGAAAACCAGATTACTTCTAGAGGGGGAGAGACTAGATAGTATTAGTATTCAGAGGGATATATGTGTCTTTGGACACCAATCACAGAAAGTTAGTATGCAGGTACAGCAAGCAATTATAATAATAATAATCCTTACATTTGATATAGCGCTTTTCACATCTTCTAGATGCTTCACAGAATATACTATAAAGTGAATTGACTGTATATTTGTGGACAAAAAGTGGCAGCTAATTGCGCACAGCAGTGTCCCACAAACAATTGTGGATTGAAAATGACCAATTTATTATTGGTTTTTTTTGGAGGGATTATTATTAGACTTGTGGAGTAAGGAAACTTGCCCAAGGTTTCGCCCTGCCTGGAATAGAACTCAGGTGTCGGCGAGTGCTCTAACCACTGAGCTGCAGGACTCTATTAGGAAGGCTAATAGCATGTTAGCATTTATTGCAAAAGGGTTAGAGTACAAGAGTAGGGAAATCTTGCTGCAATTGTATAGGGCCTTAGTGAGACTGCATCTGGAATATTGTGTGCAGTTTTGGTCTCCCTGTCTATGAAAGGACATACTTGTCTTAGAGGGGGTGCAATGTAGGTTCACTAGGTTGATTCCTGGGATGAGGGGATTGACCTACGAGGAGAGATTGAATAGACTAGGCCTATATTCTCTAGAATATAGAAGAATTAGAGGTGATCTTATAGAAACCTATAAGATTCTTAAGTGTCTTGACAGTGTAGATGCTGTGAGACTGTTTCCCCTGGTTGGAGAATCTAAAACTAGGGGTCATAGTCTCAGGATTAAAGGTCAGCCCTTTAGAACTGAGTTGAGAAAACATTTCTTCACTCAGAGGTTAGTGAATTTGTGGAATTCTCTACCCCAGAAGGCTGTGGATGCTCAGACCTTGAACATATTCAAGACTGAGATTGATAGATTTCTTAAAAACTAAAGGGATTAAGGGATATGGGGATAGGGCGGGTAAATGGAATTAGGTTAAAAGATCAGCCATGATCTTATTAAATGGCGGGGGGCGGAATTGCCAACTCCTGCTCTTATTTCTTATGTTCTTACGCCTCCTTCAGGGTCCATCTCAGGACCGTCCTCTTTGACTGTGCCTTTGGTCATCTTTCCACTCCACCACGCTTCCCGTGGTCCCTACCCTTCTTATATACAATCCCCAACTCGGGTACAAATTCTTGATTGTCCAGCACCTTGGAGCATCCTTCTGACATGAAAGGTGCTATATGAATGCAATTTGTTGTTGTTGTTTTGTTTTTGCTGCTTTATCCATATTGCTGTTGTGCCAGTTTCATGCTTAAGATAAATGTAGACATGTACGTGCCACTTTGAGCCTGCACTCTTGACTACAGTGGAGTCAGTCGGAGATGCCAACTTTCAATCAGACATTAAACCAAGATCCTGTTCAGATGCCAGTTCAGATGGATATCAAAGACCCCATGTCACTATTTGAAAAGACAAGGGAGTTTCTGCCAGTGTCCCAGATAGAATGTTCAACTGTTTCATGCTGTTTGTGGGACTTTGCTGTGCGCACGTTAGTTGAAGTAGTCAAGATACCATCCTTTTGGATAAGAAGTTCAACTAATATCTGATTAGCGGAATGTGACAGTGGATTGTTTCACTGAACTGCTAATTAGTGGGATACTGGCTTTTGGGAACATTTTAGTGCCCATTGCCTCTAAAACTAGCGACCATTGATATTTCAGGCTCAAAACTAAGTAAAGCTATCATTTTATTTTCCAGCCTCTCATCACATCATTTTTGGTAGTTTCACTGGCTTCACTACAACGCCACAGTGGGCCGGTGTATTCCTCACATGAACCTTTATATCAGCACTGGGATGAAGGAGCAGCTCGGTATTACAAATGCAAACAGTGTCCACCTGGCACCCACGTGAAGAGTCACTGCAATGCAGAGAGGATGACTGAATGTTCAGCTTGCCCTGAAGCACACTACACTGAGTACTGGAATTACCTTGATGAATGCCAGTATTGCAATGTGTTTTGCAAAGAGTATCAGTATATTAAGCACGAATGCAACACCACTCACAACCGTGTCTGTGAGTGCATCAAAGGTCATCATTTGGAATTTGAGTTCTGTATAAAACACAAAAAGTGCTCCCCTGGGTTTGGTTTAAAGAAACTGGGTAAGTAGGTTAATTTTGAATTAAGATTGGGTGAAATTGATGATAACAAAAATGATGAGGAAAAACATTTTTTTTGTGTGGGGGGGGTTTAATTTCAACACAACAACAAAATTACATTTGTATAGCGCCTTTCACGTCAGGAGGATGTCCCAAGGAGCTGGATAGACAGTGTTTCAGACCCGAGCTGGGGCTTGGGGTCAGGGAAGATGGGGGGCAGGGGTGGAAGCAGGGAGATCAAAAGCATAGTCGAAGAGGAGCGTCTTGAGATGGGTCTTGAAGGTGGCAAGGGAGGGGGCAAGGTGGAGGGACTGCGAGATAGAGTTCCAGAGGGTGGGAGCAGAGTGGTAGAAGGTCCACCCGCCAATAGTGGGGGAGAGCGAGGTGGGGGGAATTTCAGGCCTAATTTCACACCTTAGGCCTGAAATTCCATCTATTTTTAGTCTATTAAACTATAGAGTGTCAGCCTGACTCATTCAGTAGCACAGTGGTCTCAGTCAGAAGGTTGTGGGTTCAAACCCTACATCAGGGCTTTAAACTCACGTTGTCTAGGCTAACACTCCATTGACGTTACAGGTCTTGTGGCACAATTTGAAAAGAGAAAGGAGTTTCTCCCAGTTTCTTGGCCAATACGCCCCCAGATAAAACTGTTCATTGCTGTTTCTGGAATATTGCTGTGCATAAATTGGCTACTGTATTGGTCTACAAAAATATAAAATCATTATACTCTACAGTATATACTGTGAAACACTTTGAGACCTCCTCCTGTTGTGAAATTTAGGGATTATTACTGTTATTTTGTCTTGTAACATTTAAGATGGCGTAGAATTATGGAAAATTCTAAAATTCAGTCTGAATATGGCAGACGTCCCTTTTTAAGACCTCCAAAAAACTTTTTTGCGAAATCTTAAATTTTTAAGGCTAATGGTGTGACAGGCTAAGACTAGGTGAAATTTCAGGGCTAATATTATTTGCAAAAATCCTATCATTTAAGCCCACGGCTCACCTGACTCAAAGGGGACCAACGCAGTAACTTTAATTTTCAAATTTCTTCCTGTGTTGTTTTACAATGATATTTTTAAATTTTATTTTATTTTATACATTGTTTTTTGTTTTATTTTGCGTCATTTCCAATTTGTGAAAAATGAACTCAAAATAACAGAATTCTGATTGGCACGAAATATTGGTGAGCACAATAACTGTTAAGGTTTACTCAGTCCCCCAACGAATATTCTCACTCATCGACTGTGTTCTCAGGGTAACTGGGGATGGACAATAAATCCATCAGCCAATCAGGACTGGACCAAAAGTTAGGAGAATGGCAAGAGTGGCGTCTTGTGGGGCTGCTCAGAACACTGGCTGGAGCCCTCTTCAGGGCTCAGGACTTCCCCCCCACCAGCTCCCATTAAAGAGGCATTCTGTAAAAGGAAGGTGCTCTCATTGGATCTGCAAAGCTCTTCTTCCTCAACAAAAGCATCAGAAGGAAGATAGAACCTGATTGGGGGTTAAGACACGACACTGCTTAGTAGCAGCAGTGCGAGGCTGCTGGCTTTGGCTGCTGGTCGGTTTATAGTGCACATTTTCTGCCAAAACCATAGAAAAGTTAGTGAGCTGGTAGATAAATTTGGGGGAGGCTGAGCCGTCATCTACTCCCAGCCACCCGATGCTTATACCTGTCAAGTAGTTGTGACCCTCTTTTCAAACCGCTCCAGCCTTTGTGTTCCTCCCACAATGGTGCGGGGTAAGGTGTTCTGGGATTTTGACCAAGCAACGATGAAGGAACCTGACTTTCCATGTCAGGATGAAGAGTGACTTTGACGAGAACATAGAGTGGGGGTGTTTCCATGATTTTTTTTGTGAATGAGGTTTGCACTATTCACCCCCATTAACCAAATTAGACCGAATACATTCCACTAGGGAACGAGGGTTGTCCCCACAGACAAGCTCCAAATCCCCCCAAACTCTCTAGGCCCAAAATTGTCAAAGGACAATGCAGACCTGAAACCTGTCTTTACGACCAACCGAGCAAGTCAGGTGATGGGATCACCTCTCTGACAGGGAAAACCCAACCTGAACCTAGTGACCTTCAAGTGAGCTCTGATTCCATATCTGCTTCCTCTGTGAGGGCAGATCACACTCCTCAGATGGGAAGTACTGCAATGCGAATCCCAACCAACAGAGGCCGAAAGCATAGCTGTAGCCGGAGCTCAACCCTTCTCATAATATCCGAGATATGTGTGAGATTCGGTCATGGTAACTAACACAAGCCAATCTCAACAGAACTTTTCTGGCATTGATAGCTCAAGGAGTAACTGATAATAACAACAACAACAAGATTACATTTGTATAGCGCCTTTTATGTCGGGAGGACGTCCCAAGGTGCTGGACAGTGTACAGCATTTCAGACCTGAGCTGGGGTCAGGGGGGTTGAAGAGGAGGGTCTTGAGGTGGGACCTGAAGGAGGCTAAGGAGGAGGCGAGGCGGAGTGATTGGGGAATGGAATTCCAGAGGTTGGGGGCAGAGTGGCTGAAGGCTCTACCGCCAATGTTGGGGCGGGTGGGTCGGGTGACATGGAGCAGGTCGGATACTACACTTGATCTTAGCCAAAAGGCAGAGAACCATCACAATTTATTTTTAACAAAATATATATTTATTTGTTGATATATGTATATAACAACAACAAGATTCCATTTATAGAGTGCCTCTGACGTCGGGAGGACATCCCAAAGCGCTGGACAGTTGGGTCAGGATCCGAGCAGGGGGTAAATGGTGAGGGGAGGGAAGGGAGGGAGCGAGGAGGGGGTAGAGAGTTGAGAGGGGAGCTGAAGGCACGGATAAAGAGAAAGGTCTTGAGACCGGCCTTGAAGGAGGAAAGGGAGGAGGCGGCGAAGGCACTGGGGGATAGAGTTCCAGAGCCTAGGTGCTGAGAGGCTGAAGGCCCAGCCACTGATGGTAGGGTGGTTGGGGCGGGGGTTGTGGAGCAGACCGGAGCCAGACGAACGGAGGATACGGGCAGGTAGATAGGGGGATAGTAGTATATATATATTTACGCTTATCTCAGACAGTATCAAACCCAATACAGAAAAGACGCAGCATGTTATTATCCTATGACAGTATCAACAGACCCGGCACCTTGTGGCGGGGGTTTGGGTTTCCTCTGCGCATTCAAGACCAAGGCTTCCCTGCCTCTGGGTTCTGCTGCCCTTTGCAGGGCGTAGTTAGAAATGGGGTCTTGTTCCCCTCTCCCTACTGACCTACTATCCCCCTACCTACCTGCCCGTACCCTCCGTTCCTCTGGCTCCGGTCTGCTCCACATCCCCCGCCCCAATCGCCCTACCATCGGTGGTCGGGCCTTCAGCCTCTCAGCCCCGAGGCTCTGGAACTCTATCCCCCAGTGCCTTCGCCGCCTCCTCCTTTTCCTCCTTCACGGCCGGTCTCAAGACCTTTCTCTTTGACCGTGCCTTCAGCTCCCCTCTCGACTCTCTACCCCCTCCTCGCTCCCTCCCTTCCCTCCCCTCACCCTGACCATTTCCCCACTGCTCGGGTCCTGACCCAACTGTCCAGTGCCTTGGGACGTCCTCCCGACGTGAAAGGCGCTCTATAAATGAAATATTGTTGTTGTTGTTGTTGTGCTCAATGATATGCAGTGTACAGTATCTGGTTACACTATTCCTCTCAGCGTTCTGCCTCCGTGGTAATCTTTTGCTTTGTGATGATTGCAACTAGGGCTATGATTATAGGTAGTTGGAATGATTCATTCAGTAGTGGTACNAAAAATTCTTCCAGTAAAATTAGGGTTTTTACCTTGGAGCCAATACAACTTTTACACTAGCATTAGATACTCTTACCCAACGCAACTCTTCCTGGTCACAAACTTTATAAAACAAAGAAGGTTACATCATAAAATATGCAATTGAAAATGTTTTAAAAACGCAAGTTATTTTAGCAAAGAGAACAGAAAGAAATGAAATATATTTTGCACAAAAGAACTAAGAACTTTACAGAATATAGTTTTGTAACTATGCAAGGCCACTGACGTATCGAATCAAACCAGCATCAGTTATATACCAACGTTATTACCCCAGCACCAAATAGCCTCAAAAGAGTTAAATACAAAAAAGGGAATATATTACTTTTGCTTTCAAACTGTTAAAAACAATGTGCTGAAGGATTCTTGGACCCGACAAATGAGCATTTCCTTCATGGAAAATATATATACCATTCATTGTTCTTAAAGCTGCAAGTGCAAGTGCTGATAAAATGGTCATATAATAATAATAATAATAATAATAATCCTTGCATTTGATATAGCGCTTTTCACGTCAGGAGGACGTCCCAAAGCGCTTCACAGAACACACTGTAAAGTGAATTGACTGTATATTTGTGGGCGAACGCGGCAGCCAATTGCGTACAGCAATGTCCCACAAACAGTCGTAGATTGAAAATGACCAATTTAATTATTGTTTTTGGTTTTTTGGAGGGATTATTATTAGGCTCTGTGTGGAGTAAGGAAACTTGCCCAAGGTTTCGCCCTGCCTGGAATTGAACTCAGGTCTCTCACTTGCAAAGCGAGTGCTCTAACCACTGAGCTACAGGACTCCATATGAATTTGGCTCAATATTTGTGTCTCTCTTGGTTCTCTAAAATACCAAACCATAAAAATAGGAGCATTCACTGCCAGTTCCCAGCTTGTGGTTCACTTCAGAGCTAAATTCGACACTTCATAAAATCAATTCTAGGTAGAAGGCCAAGGATAAAATTTAAGAGGCTATTTTGTTCTGTGCGTTCTTTGTAGTGAGATTGTTGCTTTGGGCAAAGCAATATTCTGTTCATTCAGTTAGGTTTAATTATAATACTAGTAATCCTTGTACTTGGTATAGCGCCTTTCACATCAGGAGGTCATCTCAAAATGCCTCATAGGATTTTACTGTGAAGTAGAGTGACTATGTATTTGTGGGTGCAATGGGATCCTTAATGCCCACTTGAATGGGTAGGCGGGACTT